ATGGTGTGTTTCTCACACACCCATTACTCCAATTTCCTTGACTCCACTCCGCCGCATTCCTTGGCTTAAACCCTCTTAAGCAGCTGCAAATTGGAGATGCATTCGCATTACATATCCCGAACGGCCCACAAGCACCGTAGTAATCACACGGCGTTCTAAGAGCCGACCAAGCTGCCGCCCAGCTTTCTTCCGACGGATCCCAGTACTCTTGCAATAGATCGCCTTGCGGGCTTAATAGCATGGTATTGAGTAATTGATTGTCGTTATTATAAGAAATTGAGAAATAAAAAGTTTGGTTTTCATTCTCAAGATTAAACCCAATGCGATAAACAGAGATCATTTCGGGTACTCCCATGAAAGTCAGACCGTTCCATGGACCAGATCTCCAATATGGGTTATTGCCATTCCAAATGACAGCTTCAGGGATACTGCGAACATCTAAGGCCAAAGAAAAGTTACCTGTAGATGGATCGGAAGCGGTTTTCCATGATCTAAACTCGACCTTCTGTGTGGTGCTTTTGCTTGAGATGAGTTTCATGGGAGGCAAGAATGAATTGGAAGGATGTTTGAAGCTCTCCCATATAACCAACCCAGAAGCAGGATCTTCCAAAACAAGGTTGCCCGAATCGAGGATTCGAGCGGTTGTGTTGGCTGTTGGAGAAGTAACATTTGAAGACCAGAGGACGGTGTGGTTTCCATTTGAGACGACAAGATTTCCATCCTTGGAAATCGTGAAAATCCCGGAAGAATCGTGGAGAGGGTTGTTTGCATTTGCTACCCACACGATGGTTTGTAAGGGGATTTGGTTGTACCAAATTCCGACATATCGGGCGGTGGAATTAAGTGGTGTGAAGAACCCCAACTGGAAGGAGCTGCCATTTGAGGTTATGGTTGCAGGGTCTTTGATGAAACTTTCAGATGTGATTGAATCTTTGCCGAAGCATATAGATGAAAGAAGAAGAAATGAGAAGGCGCAGATGTTTTTGGGGTTCATTTGTGTGGCTGAATACTAATGATTAACCGAAACAGAGTTGAAAATACTAACTTATTTTGATATAACCATTGGAGGGTGGATCCATTCGACTTGTTTCCACACGCTTCGGTTGTTGAGTCTCTGTAGCCGCCAAAACAGGAAGAACACTTTCTGGGGATGTCTTTAAACACATTCGTTTCTTGGAGTGGGTTTTTTGATAGAAGTTTTTTGGACAACAAGTTCCGTGGGGAAGGGGGAAGCCAACCCGGATCTACAACTGGGTTATCTCCAGGATTCAATGTCTATTCGTTTGACATTTTTGTATTTCTTTGACGTTGAATTTTCATCATATTTCAAATCGCCACTTTACATGACTTTTTTTACTCTGTGTTCCCACGACATTCATCTATTACTTTGACTTTAAGCTTTGGATGATTAGGGCACGTAGGAGATATATATATATTATATTATATTATATTTTAATTTTGGAATATTTTGGATTTTAAATCAGTTAGACAATAATGTATTGATCAAGTTTTAATGCGGTGTAGTATTAATGAGAGAATAGAAATTAGTATTTTAGATTAGATTAAATTTTTAATTACATTATTGAAATTGTCTCCTTTCAGTTTTATCTTTCATGCTTCTCTTTAAAGTTTTAAAATCTATCCACTGGTGATAGGTTTCCACGTCTTCATAAAAAAATATTTTGTTCTCTCCCTCAACCAATGTGAGTTCTTACAAAGAGAGATAGATGAGAAATTAAATTATATGAAAAAAAAAATGTTTTAGAAATTAATTATCAAAATTGCAGTCATTTTGTTAAATTATCTTTCAAAAATGTGGACAGGGCTTTTCTATAATTACTTGTATTCAAGACTGCATAAGTAATTAAGATCAGTTCTACCCGCTGCTCTCAAACTTTTTTATATCAATCAAGTCTCTTCCATACAGTATGCATTGAGTACCATTCTCATATGCATAAGCTACAATTCTTCAACTACTCGCGTTTGCAATCGGTTTTAGAAATAGAAGCTGTCAGGACCCAATTTTCGAGGCTTCGAAAATCCGAATAGTGATTAAAAAGACAAAATTGAAAAGAAAGAAAAAGAAAAGAAAAATAAAATAAGAAAGTACCATTTAATTAAAATAAAAGAGGGAGAAGATTTTTTTCGAAAATATTAAAAAGAAAGTTACAAATATAAAATGAAATACAAAAGACTCTAAAAGACCGACAAGGGATTGACGCTTAGGAACGACCCCCTCTGTGACCGCACAGCTCTCGAACGCTCCTCCGCCACAACCGGTACCTGAAAAAAAAAAAGGTAAAAAGGAATGAATATAAAAATTATACTCAGTAAGCCACCTACTTGTAGGCTCTCGTTGCACCCTAAACTTATCAAACAACCACGAACTTTCCTTTAGCTCTAGAACATCTGCTTCTGGTCTTAGCTCATTAGGGCTTCCCCCTTCAGGCTTCTTTGGTTCTTAGACCTTCTATTTATACCCCTAGAGTTCCTTTTATGCTAACCTGTGTTGGTCTGGTGCCTTGCGAGTGACTACCTCGGCATGGGTATGAGATTACCTGGGGTCTTGCCTAGGAAGTGAGCTGCAACCCCCTAGTCCTATGGTAATTCCCCTGTATTTGGGAGGGCTACCTCCCCTATTCCATCCAGCTAAACGATCAATTATGGCGTGGGTATCCCGTTTCCCATACTAAACGGCTATCGAGTAGTCGAGTCCTGATCAGGAACCCGCTGGTCCCCAACGAAGCTATATCACCATCCACACACTGTTGTAAATTGTCATAAGTTTTGATTTGATTTGGTTTTTGGATTATATTTGATTTGGTTATTTGAATTAGATTTGATTTGGTTATTTGAATTAGATTTGATTTGGTTATTTGAATTAGATTTGATTTGGTTATTTGAATTAGATTTAGTCACACCAGGGTTTAGTTATATATCGGGATTTGATATCAGAATTGGGTATCGGAATTTGGGAGAGCTTTTGGAGTCACATTGTATTTGTTGAGTGACATGTGTTCTGAGTCTTTGTAGTGTGATAGTGAGATATTCACTTGTAATGCTTTGGTTTATTAGTGATTGGTTCGTGGATGTAGGGGAACTTCTCTCCGAACCACGTAAATATCTTAGTGCCTCTTTGTGTAAAATCGTTCATTGGTGTTGTGAGTACCTTTGTTCCGCTTTCGGTGCACAACAAGTGGTATCAGAGCCAAGTTGTGGTATTTTGGGGTATTGTGAAAGCTTGGGCCTCATCGACCATTAGACGTGCTCACAATCGTATTTATTCTCTTGAAAATCAATTTTCAAGAATTGGGTTTTTGAGTTTCATTCGGATTAATTATTGCAAATGGCAGAACCATCACGACGTGGATCGAGAGTGTGGAGTTCCAATCTCGAAGTAGAAAAATTTGATGGAACCAATAATTTTGGTGTTTGGCGAGGCGAAGTCAGCGATTTATTGGTCATGCAAGACCTCGATGTCTCTTTCCAAGAGGAAATGCCTGAAGACATGACAGAAGCAGAATGGACGAAATTAAATCGGCAAGCCTGTGGAATTATTCGATCCTGTCTTGGCAAGGATCAGAAATATCCATTTATGAAGGTTACCATGGCGAAAGAATTATGGGACAAGCTTGAAGCGAAATATATGAAGAAGAGTGTGGAAAATAAACTCTATTTGAAGAAGAAACTCTTCCGTTTTGATTACAAGGAAGGCATCTCAATGGCTGAGCATTTGGATGATTTTAACAAAATCATCACTGATTTGCTCAATCTTGATGTTAAGATTGATGACGAGGACAAAGCGTTGTTGTTATTAAACTCCTTGCCGGAATCCTACGAGTTTGTAGTAACGACCCTACTACATGGAATCACTAATATTGATTTTGAAGATGTTTCAAATGCCTTAATAAACAATGAGATGCGAAAGAAGGAAAAGGAGACGTATCAAAGCTCTAGCTCAAATGTTCTCACTGCTCATGGAAGGACTTCCAATTGGAAAAAGAACGAATGTGGAGAGCCTCGACTAAAGTCGAGAGGTAGATCTGATAATTGGAGAAAACTTGATAAAAATGAGTGTGCATATTGTCGACAGAAAGGCCATTGGAAAAAAGATTGTTCGATCTTAAAAGAGAAGGGGTCGAAGTCCAATGTGGTTAGAGATGACGACACTGATACAGATGATGCCTTGACAATCTCCCTATCAGTCAGCCAAACCAGTGAATGGATTCTTGATTCTGGGTGTTCCTATCATATGTGTCCCAACAAAGAGATGTTTTTGGACTTCAAGGAGTTCAATGGTGGAGTTGTCTATATGGGAAATGATAGTACTTGTAAGATAATGGGAATCGGCTCAGTACAAATCAAGATGTTTGACGGGGTTATACGAAAACTCAAAGATGTGAGGTATGTCCCTGACTTGAAGAAAAATTTGATTTCACTTGGCGTTTTGGATGCGAGTGGTTATCGCATCATTTTGGAAGGAGGGAATTTGAAAGTAGCTCGTGGAGCTTTGGTGGCAATTACAGGAACTAGAAGAGGTAGCATATACTACCTCAACGGAACCACAATAATTGGGCATGCTGCTGTGGCAAGTTCGAAAGAACAAGACATATCGAAATTATGGCACATGCGACTCAGGCATGCTGGTGAGAAGGCGCTTCAGACACTGGTGAACCAAGGAGTTCTTAAGGGTGCCACAACTGGAAGAATTGATTTCTGTGAACATTGTATATTTGGCAAACACAAAAATGTGAAGTTTGGTACAGCTATACACCAAACAAAGGGCATTTTGGATTATGTTCACACTGATGTATGGGGTCCCACAAAGAATGTCTCATTGGGAGGAAAGAGGTGGTTCGTCACCTTTATTGATGACTACTCGAAGAGAGTTTGGATGTATCCCATGAGGCACAAAAACGAGGTTCTCCAAATCTTCCTAGAGTGGAAGAAAATGGTAGAGAATCAGACGGACAAGAAAATCAAAAGGCTGAGATCAGACAACGGGGGAGAATATACTTATGATCCATTCCTTAAAGTATGCCGAGATGAAGGGATCGTTCGACACTTCACTGTTCCTGGTAAGCCACAACAAAATGGAGTTGCTGAGAGAATGAACCAGACATTAATAGAGAAGGTTCGATGCATATTGTCTCAAGCAGGATTGAGTAAGGCATTTTGGGCTGAGGCTCTCAGTTATGCAGTTCACTTGGTGAATCGTTTACCTGTTTCTGGAAACGGTGGGAGAACTCCGCTTGAGGTATGAAGGGATCGTTCGACACTTCACTGTTCCTGGTAAGCCACAACAAAATGGAGTTGCTGAGAGAATGAACCAGACATTAATAGAGAAGGTTCGATGCATATTGTCTCAAGCAGGATTGAGTAAGGCATTTTGGGCTGAGGCTCTCAGTTATGCAGTTCACTTGGTGAATCGTTTACCTGTTTCTGGAAACGGTGGGAGAACTCCGCTTGAGGTATGGTCAGGTAGTCCTGTTAGTGATTATGATAAATTACATGTGTTTGGGTGTCCTGCTTATTATCATGTGACAGACTCAAAGCTGGATCCTAGAGCAAAAAAAGCCAAGTTTATGGGCTTTAGCAAAGGTGTGAAGGGCTATAGGTTATGGTGTCCAGAAACAAGTAAGATTGTTAATAGTCGAGATGTGACATTCGATGAGTCTGGAATATTTTTGCAGAAAATTGAAAATAATGACGAGGCATTGAAGCAGGTGGAGAAGGTGGTGTTCTCTCCTGATGTGGTTGCTCCTACTGAAGAACCTATTGACCAGGTAAATAATAACTTTGATGTCTTAGAACAGAAAGAGCAAAGTCTGGAGGAGCAAAGCCTTGTAAATGAAAGAGTGGAGGAACCTGAGTCTATCGCCAAGAATAGACCACGAAGGGTAATTCGAAAACCTGCAAGGTTTGATGATACGATAGCATATGCTTTCTCTATAATTGATGGAGTTCCCAACTTACGTATTGAGGCTTGAGGTGGTAGCAACCAACTCAGTTATCAACTTGGAGATCTTATGACAAGGTGGAGATTGTTGTAAATTGTCACTATGTTTTGATTTGATTTGGAGATCTTATGACAAGGTGGAGATTGTTGTAAATTGTCATAAGTTTTGATTTGATTTGGTTTTTGGATTATATTTGATTTGGTTATTTGAATTAGATTTGATTTGGTTATTTGAATTAGATTTGATTTGGTTATTTGAATTAGATTTAGTCACACCAGGGTTATATATCGGGATTTGATATCAGAATTGGGTATCGGAATTTGGGAGAGCTTTCGGAGTCACATTGTATTTGTTGAGTGACATGTGTTCTGAGTCTTTGTAGTGTGATAGTGAGATATTCACTTGTAATGCTTTGGTTTATTAGTGATTGGTTCGTGGATGTAGGGGAACTTCTCTCCGAACCACGTAAATATCTTAGTGCCTCTTTGTGTAAAATCGTTCATTGGTGTTGTGAGTACCTTTGTTCCGCTTTCGGCGCACAACACACACAAGTAGCCTAAGAGTACTCTAGAGGTGCATCGTATGTCGTGATGGTCTGTTAGACTACTAGGGAAAGGTTAAGTCTATTCCTTGGTGACTTGTCGCTCTGACCATAAATCCCTAGACTTTATCATAAATGTGGGTCATGGAAATTAACTCAGTGTGCACACAACTATCATCCAACATCATCATACATAATTCATGCAAAGTAAACATACATGCTCAAGGGGGCAATAACATCCATCATCTCCCAGAGCGCAAAATTCGTAAGTTCCCATCCTCCTTTCAGTATGAATTAAACATATACATATGAAGCGAAAGCTTAAAAACATAATTGCAACACATCAGATAATTCTCAAAATACTTCACATAATACATCCATACTCTTAACAACCAAGTTACATACATTCAATCATTCAATCATGGAAAGTTACCACCTAAGGTAATTAAACTAACATGCATGTATAACCAAGTGATTCCTACAAGTATTTCTTTCTAAAGTTCCGTATGATGACTTACCTGATTGACGCGTGTTCTTCGTTTAGCGCTTTTACTCGAATACTGTGTCTACAAAGTACTAATTTTCTCTATTAAGTCCTATTTCATATTAGAAATAGGGTTAGAGTTGGAATCGGGAGGAAATTCAGGAAAAACAGACGTTGAACGGGCTGAAAACGGCACCTCACGCGCTCACACGCGTCTGGAAATGTGTTACACGCGCAAAGCCACGCGCGTGTACGGACGCGCATGAGGGAGGGAAGACGCGCGCTGAGGTAATGCCGCGTGGCGCCCGCTGAACGGTCAGCCGAGGTCGAGGTCGTCGGTTCGAAACCGGAAAGAACGCGCTGGAAATCCGAATTCTTTTACGCTGACGCATGGCAACGCGAAGCCGGGTCGGTGATCCGGGTTGCGCGCGGGCCATCGGGTCGCGGACTCGAGTAGCGGCTGCCGGCGTTCGTATCCTGCCCGACGCGAAGCATTTCGTTGAATTTCTCCGCCAATACACGCCGGACACGTGTCGACCATTCCGACAACGCGCGGCCCTCTCTTTGCCTGAAACGCATCACTCCGCCTTCTTCCTCATCACTCCGCCTTCTTCCTCACATCTCTGCGATTTTCTAGAAAATCGATTATTTCCTATTTTCTTTGCATTTTCGTATTTCTTTCTATATGATTCGGATTAAAATGATTCCTTCAAGAGATTTGAAGATTACATACTCATCTACATATAGCTATTTTTCTTGTAATTTATTTCTAACCACATTGATAATAAACTCAATCCAAAGTTGACAAGAGATATCAATACTCACATCAATTCAAAGCTGGAACAACTCTTTTCCAAATCCATCAAGGCTCCCTTCACAAATTATGAACGACAATCTTTTCTAAATTAACATATTCAAATTTTGGAATCTAGCTCTCAATATTTCTAACAGATCTGAGGAAACTTTGTAAACAATCCTTGGAGAACTTACCTACGGATTTTCTTGAATCCTTGACGGATTTGGACGATTTGAGAGTTGTTCTCCCCTGATTCTGTGAAGATTTCATGAAGAAGGTTCGACCGGAACCGGACTTCTCGTGGCCGGCGGTTACCTTACTCCCTCGATGCTTTCCCTCTCTCTCTCTCTAGAACTTTCCTTCTCCTTCTAGAATTAATTTCTATTCTTTTTTTCTTTTCCGCCATTTTTCCTTCTCTTCCTTTTTCCCTTTATTTTTATTCTTCTTCTTTTAATCCTATGTTACCAGAAGGAGGGTATAATGACCAAATTACCCTCCATGATTGAACTTGACCATCCTCCTAATTTTCTATCATTTTTTATTTTTATTTTTATTGAGTTCTTCTTTTACTCCTAATCATTTTTCTCTTAGTATTTTGGTCTCTAAAACGTTCAATAAAATCTCGAGAGTTCGAATTTAAATCTAAAATTGGATTTTAAACTTTCCATTAAGGCTCGTGTCTTACAGAAGCATTGGACCATTCTGCATAAAATGACACCTTAACAATTTCCAAATGCAAAAATCCATTTTCCTCAATAGTACTTAGTGTCAATGCTCGATTTCTTACACACTGCAGTGACATATTTCTCATACACCCACCACTCCGATTTCCTCCATTCCATTCCTCTTCTTGCTTTGGCAGTGGGCTTGACTTGAGCAACTACAAACGATATCAGAGTCAGACATCGAGCAGTATGATAGTAAAGACAATGATCCCAAGAAAGTCGAGTGTGAGATTACCCGTTAATTGAAAAGAGGAACTAAATATTACTTATAAAACCGAAAACAACATCTTCCAAAATCAGATTACCAGAATCTAAAAGGCGGGCATTCGTGTTGGTTGCAGATCCATTAGAATTCTTGAGAGGGTTGCCACCTATGTTAGAATTTAGTATAACTTATTTTTAGTTTGAGCAGTAGATATTGCGTCAACCTATATAACTAGTTAGTACATAAATTTGTTTCTTGAACCAAATTCTGACGTATCGCTTGGTGGAGTTGAGAGGTGCAAAGAAGCCCAACTCGAATCAAGTGGCATTGGAAATTATAGTTGCAGGATCTTTGATGGAACATAGATTTAGGCTGAAAGGACTCAATTTCTTCAGCAATGGCGTCTGCGTTTACCGGCGTGACAAAGAAAATTGGAGCCAATAATATAATATTGTATTGAGAAGAACTGAGCCCACTTTGAAATTTGATCAACTAAAACACTACAAAAATCATTACTTCTCTCTGTTCTGTCCACTGAAACCAATTGAATAATAAATCGCCTTTGAAATTTCGACGTGATGAACACCATAGGCCTGCTTCTTCCCACCTTGTTTCCAATACAATCAAAAGTTTCATCCTCACCGGCAACGATAAACTCCACCAATCATGAAACCCATCACCAACTCCACGCCATTAATCCTTCTTCTCCTTTGCTCTGTTTTCAAATTTTCCTGCTGCATAGATACGATCACATCCACACAATTCCTCAAAGACCCAGAAACTATACTGTCCAATCGTGGTTTCTTCGAAATGGGTTTCTTCAGCCCTCTCAATTCCACCAATCGCTACGTCGGAATTTGGGATAAACGTGTGCCTGTACGAACCATCTTCTGGGTAGCTAACAGAGACAACCCTCTCAAAAACAAATCCGGGGTTTTTGCCGTATCCAATGATGGAAATCTCGTCGTTTTAGATGCGCATAACAAAACTCTTTGGAATTCTAATGTTTCTAACGCTGTAGTGAAATCAACCGCTCGGCTTCTTGATTCTGGGAACCTTATTCTACAAGACTCTGCTTCAGGGTCCATCATATGGGAGAGTTTCAAAGACCCATCAGACAAATTCTTGCCAATGATGAAATTCATGACCAATTCAATCACAAACGAGAAAGTAGAAATCGTTTCGTGGAAAATCCCTTCTGATCCATCTTCAGGAGATTTCTCCTTTGGAATCGACCCTCTGACGATCCCTGAGTTCTAATTTGGAAGAACAACCGCACGTATTGGAGGTCCGGTCCATGGGACGGCCAAGTTTTCATTGGAATACCCGGCATGAACACAGACGATCTTTATGGAGGTAATCTGATAATCGAAAACAAAACATACTCTCTCCATTGCCAATGCAAACGAAGCTCAGTTATACTTCTACTACTTGAACCCGAGTGGGGCTTTGGAAGAGAAACATTGGGGTATCGAGGACCAGAAATGGAAGATCGCTTGGTTAGCTCCGGAAACAGAGTGTGATATCTATGGCGCCTGTGGGGCACTTGGAGTCTGTAATTCACAAAAATCCCCAATTTGCAGCTGTTTGAGGGGGTTTAAGCCAGAGAACGAAGAGGAATGGAACAGAGGAAATTGGAGAAGTGGGTGTGTGAGGAATTCGCCATTGGAGTGCGGGAAGAAGAACATCAGTGTTGAAATGGGAACAGATCAAGATGGGTTTTTGAAGGTGGGAATGATTAAAGTTCCAGATTTTGCAGCTTGGGTTGTTGCTTCGGAAGATGATTGCGGGGTCCAGTGCTTGGGAACTGTTCTTGTTCTGCTTATGCTTATAGAACAGGGATTGGGTGCATGATATGGAGAGGCGATTTGATTGACATTCAAGAGTTCAAGAATGGTGGAGCCGACATTTATGTTCGTGTGGCGTTTTCAGACATAGCTAGTATGAACTCATTTCCTTCCATAAGTGTCAGTTTAAATCTCGTACTTATGGTATCTTCTTCTTTAATTTGTTCTATTACAGATGAAAGTGGAACCACCAAAGACATGAAAGCAGTCATCAAAGCAGTCATCGTAGCTTCCGTGGTAGCAGGAACCTTTATACTTATCTGCTGCATAGATTGCTTAGGTAAGTATAGAATTAGAATTATCGTCAGTAGATATTGTCTTTGTCAGGAACATTTCGATCCCCATACAACCAATGTAGATTTCACAATCCACCTTTGGACCGGTGTCCTCGCTCACACATTTCCTAATGTCTGGCCTTATATATTCCACCTCCGTTAGAGAATAGAACTAAACATAATTTAAAAGAGTGTAAAAATCTCTCCTTAGTAGACGCGTTTGGAGTGTTATAACCTCGTATGAAATTATGTTACTGAAATTACAAAATGGGAACAGGAAAAGTGCAAATGCAAAGGCAAAAAAGGAAAGGGCAGAGGAAGTTCTTGATGAACAGTGGTGAGATGAAGCATGAGAAAGTGAACCAAGTGAAGCTCCAGGAGCTGCCTCTATTTGATTTTGAGAAGCTAGCCACTGCAACAAACCACTTCCATTTCAACAACAAGCTTGGTCAGGGTGGGTTTGGGCCAGTTTACAAGGTGGAATAGTTCTTCCTGTATGTTCCTTTCTTTTCGTTGAAGAAAGATGATGAAAATTTGGCATCATTTGCTACGGGGGAAGCTGGTAGATGGACAAGAAATAGCAGTAAAGAGGCTTTCCAGGACCTCAGGACAAGGGCTTGAAGAGTTTACAAATGAAGTAATGGTGATCTCGAAACTACAACATAGAAATCTTGTGCAGCTCTTTGGGTGTTGCGTGGAGGAAGAAGAAAGGATGCTTAGATTCAATCATTTTTGGTTGGCTTGCAAATATAACTTCACACCCTTTTGTGTTCTTCATCTATTCTTTTTAATGATCTCTTTCGAAAACAATATGCAAATTCAACTAAAGGAAGGGTTTTAGATTGGCCAAAAAAAATTTAATCGAGGGCTCTTATATCTTCATAGGGATTCACGACTAACAATCATTCCTACCGTGAGTTATATTTATGTATAGTGTCCAAATTCTAGCACAAAGACTAACAATTTTTTTTTTTTTTTTTACCATAATCTTAGTGGCTATATGTCTCCGAAATATGTTTTGAATGAACAATTCTCATAGAAATCAGATATGTTTAGTTTTGAAGTCTTGTTGCTTGAAATTATCATCGGAAGAAAGAACACAAGTTTTTATCAAAACGAACATGCCTTGAGCCTTCTAAAATTTGTAAGGGTTTATCCATCAAATTTGTAAGATTTGCACATTATTCCTCTATTAACATCATTTGATACCTTTCTCGTGTCTATTTAGGCATGGAAGTTATGGTTAGAGGCTAATGTAGTTGCTTTGATTGATCAAACAATGTCTAAACTGCATCATGAAGCAGAGATTTTGAGGTGTATTCATGTGGGGCTCTTGTGTGTTCAAGAATTTGCAAACGACATATCAAATATAACGACAATTCTTTCAATGCTTCACAATGAGATTACTGATTTTCCGATGCCAAAACAACCTGGATTTAGTAGCAGCAACCAAATTGAGATTCGTATCGAGAGATTCGAACAAAATCATCTTGAAACTTGTTCGAAAAACATGATCATAATTACCTCATTTGATGGATGTGACTTTATTATTTATTTATTTTTGTTTAATTTAAAATGTTGTGTTGATGCTTAAAAAATTTATATGCAAACCGATCACAATTTAATATTTTATTGAATAATTTAATAACCCATACGGTCAATTAATTCAAGAATACTACAATTTTTCTTTGATCTATAATTGACTTTGATATAAATAAATAACTAAATTCAGATATATATTTTATATGATCTCCTATTAAGATATTATTAAATAACTATATGATTTTTTTTTATTTCATCATAATTTTATATTTTGCCACCTACTTTTTTTTTTTTTTAATATGTTAAATTTTAAAAACTAAAATAAGTAGTTTATAATTTTATTTTTAAAATTCAAAAATTTTAAATATTGAAAAGAAGAAATTATAAAATAATTAATAAATATTTAAAATGGTTACTGAAATGGTAGAGATGTCAACTTAAACAATTCTTGTACACGACACATCACAATCTCTTTAGGTCTATCATATTCATAATAAAAAATACATCAGGCGTGTTGACTCATTAAGAATCCAAATCAAAACATATAAATAAGTTGTTATTTAAATTATAAAATATACATAATAATTAGTAATTTTTTTTATTTTTATTTTTATTTTAATGAGTTAAATGATGGTAGTAGTAATAAATATATTTCTAAAATTTATTAAAAGATTGGTTAGGTCAATGCCTATTCATGTACCGTTACATGACTGAATCAATAATCTCTCTGGGGAATTGTAAGAGAAAAAATGCGGCTCCCGACAGTCTAGCCCTGGATGCAAGAAAACAAAAAATGGCGACCAACTTCAGGCGCAACCATTTGTCTTTGCTCTGTTTGATACCTCTGTTCTTATCTCTGTTTTTTGGACAATCAATTGCAGTCGACATCTTGAAAGCAGGACAGTCCATTAACGACACCCAAGTAATTGTCTCAGCCGGCAACAAGTTTGAATTGGGGTTCTTCACTGACCCAAAGCCCTCCAATTTCAAGTATTTAGGAATATGGTACAAGGAAATTCCTGACGTTGTCGTTTGGGTGGCGAACAGAGACAACCCAATTGTAAACTCCTCTGCCACTCTAAAATTGAATGGCGATGGAAACTTAATTCTAGTCAATCAAACAGGGTCAGCTTTTTGGACTTCGAATAATCCGATTGTATCAGTTCAAGATCCTGTTGCGCAGCTTTTGGATTCAGGTAATTTGGTGCTGAGAGATTCAAATTCAGGGTCTGAAGATTACGCGTGGCAGAGTTTCGATTATCCCTTTGATACTCTGTTATCAGGCATGAAGCTCGGGTGGGACTCCAAGTCGGGGTTGAACCGAAAGCTAATATCAAGGAAAAATCCAAGCGATTTGTCGTCTGGAGAACTCAGTTATGGCGTTAACATAGATGGGCTTCCTGAACTTGTTGTTCGTAAAGGAAACAAGACGATTTTCAGGGGGGGGCCATGGTTTGGTGATGGGTTTGCCAGAGCTCGCTCTGAGAGAGCGAATTTCATCTATAATGCTTCTTTTGAGATAACATATTCATATGATTCTCCGAATAGTGAACCTTGGAGAGCTGTGTTGGATCCAGGTGGGTTTGTTATACACTCCGAGTGGAGCGGCGTGGACAGAGCATGGAAGAAATTATACACGTTTGAAGGATCAGGCTGCAACGATTACGAATTATGTGGAAATTTTGGTCTTTGTAATTCTGTTTTATTAGCAAATTGCGATTGTTTAGATGGGTTTGAACAAAAATCTGCCCAAAACTTCTCAGATGGGTGCGTGAGAAAGGATGAAAAAACCTGCAGAGCAGGGGAGGGATTTAAGAAGATAAGCGATGTAAAATTGCCAGAATCAACAGGGAACTTGGTGAAAATCAAAGTGGGTATTCAAAATTGCGAGAAGGAATGCTTGAATGATTGTTCTTGCTTGGCGTATGGCACACTGGATCTTCCTAATGTTGGCCCAACCTGCGTCACCTGGTTTGACAGATTACTTGATGTTAGACGTGTTCGTGATCCTGGAACTGGAGATGGCCTCTTTGTGAGAGTGGCCGCTTCAGAATTAGGTACGAACTCTAGCGGCTTCTCTTCATTTTTCAGCTGCGACAAAAATTGATATTGTTTGCGATTTTAGAATCGAGTACTGGGAAGCGTACAGTTCTGGTGGTTGTGGGTACCATATCAGCAATGATCTTCTTCGCGTTAATCAGCTGTTTTATCATTAGGAGTATAAGAAGAAGAGGTAGAGGTATGTAAAGCTTTCCTCCTCGTTCACTTGCAGCATAAGTTTTGTTCTTAAATGTTCTAAGTATTGGCAGATAATGGAGTTGCAATCACTGAGGATCTAGTTCATGACAATGAACTTGAGATGCCAATTGCGATGATTGAAGCAGCCACGAACAATTTCTCCATTTCCAATAAGATTGGAGAAGGAGGTTTCGGACCTGTTTATAAGGTACCCGTGTAACCGCTTAAGTCCATCACTAGCAGATATTGTCATCTTTGCGCTTTTCCTTCTAAACTTCCCCTCAATGTTTTTATAACGTGTCTGCTAGGAGAGGTTTCCACACCCTTATAAAGTGTTTCGTTCTCTTCCCCAATCGATGTGGGATTTTACGAGACCCAGCGTCCTCGTTGAGTGTTTCGGTGGGATCTCACGATCCCATTCGTCTTAGACCATAGCTTTCTAAACAATGAAACCAAACAAAATATATTATTTTGAAAGCTTTGAAATCAAAAGCTTTTGTGATATCCTACGTCGGTTGGAGAGGAGAACGAAGCATTCCTGGTAAGAAAGTGCTTCTCTCTATCAAATGCATTTTATTGTGAGGCTGACGGCTATACATAACGGGCCAAAGCGAACAATATTGGTTAGTGGTGGGTTTGAACTGGGCTTGAGCTTGAGCTGTTACTTTTTCGTACCATGGTTACTATGTTCCTTCTCTTTTATTACTCCATATAGCTTTGATTTACAGGGAACACTCCCAACCGGGCAAGAAATTGCGGTGAAGAAACTAGCAGAAAGCTCCCATCAAGGGCAACAGGAGTTTAAAAATGAGGTCCTATTCGTTTCCCAGCTTCAACATCGAAACCTTGTCAAGCTTCTTGGTTTCTGCATCCACAGGGAAGAAACATTACTTATTTATGAATACATGCCAAACAAAAGCTTGGACTACTTCCTTTTTGGTTCGTATCAGACGATCTTTCTTCTTTTTATCGTCGTAGATTTGAACGGTTCGATTTTAACCGACTAAGATTATTCAAATAGATGACCAAAGACGTTCGGTACTTAACTGGACAATGAAAAAGGATATCATAATTGGCATAGCTAGAGGACTTCTTTATCTCCATCGAGATTCAAGACTCCGAATAATTCATCGAGATCTTAAAGCGGCTAATATTTTATTAGATGGTGAAATGAAGCCAAAAATTTCAGACTTTGGCATTGCGCGTATGTTTGGTGAAGATCAAATGGAAACAAAAACGCAAAGAGTTGTTGGGACATAGTAAGTAACAAGATCGAATCTCATGTATTTGATTCATGTTTTAAGATTTTAAGATATGATATGACATAACGTTGTCACTTTGCAGTGGCTACATGTCTCCGGAATATGCAATAGATGGTTGTTTTTCATTTAAATCCGATGTTTATAGCTTTGGAGTTTTGGTTTTAGAAATAGTTAGCAGCAAGAAGAACAAAGGATTTTTTCACTCCGAGCATCAACTGAATCTTCTCGGACATGTAAGTACCGAGAAACAACCCCTTAGTTGAAAAAACTAGATTTTTGCACTGCTCATGTGAACATGTGTATCAGGCATGGAAGCTTTGGAATGAAGAAAAAGCGTTGGAGTTAATTGATGGAGAGGTGGGTGATCAAATGCAAGAACATGAAGCACTAAAATACATAAATATTGGACTTTTATGTGTTCAAGGACGCCCGAAAGATAGACCCATTATGTCATCTGTGCTTTCCATGTTAGAAAGTGATACCATGGAGTTGATTCACCCAAAACAACCTGGGTTCTATGAGGATAGATTTGTGTTGTCTGATTTTGATCCATTGTTAGATCATAAATCGACTTCTACTTCGAATAATGTTACTATTACATTGCTAGATGACGGTCGTTAATCCATTTATTTTCGAGGAAGCGATGAGAAAATCATTGAAACGATGATTATTTATGGATTTGCAACCTTGATCCTTTACTGCTATAACTAGCTTTATTCATCCCAAGAACATCTCTGGCTTGCCATGCAGAGATGGGGTACAACCAAATTTCATATCAACCCATTTTCTATCTCAGCCACACAAGAGGTTGGGATTGGATTGCTGGTTGTCCCATCGGTTGGAGAATGAAATAGAGCATTCTTTATAAGGGTGTTTTAAAAATTATAAGGCTGATAGCAATACGTAACGAGTAAAAGCGGACAATATCTACTAGTGGTGAATTTTGACGGTTACAAATGGTATCATAGGCAAAAATAGAGCGATGTACCAGCAAAGACGTTGGTCCTCAAAGAGGTGGATTGTGAGATCCACATTAATTGAAGAGGGGAATGTAACATTTCTTATAGGGTATGAAACCTATTCCTAGTAGACGCATTTTAAAAACGTGAGACTAATGGCGATACGGAACGAGCTAAAGCAAACATGTCTAATAGCGTAGACTTGAGCTATTACATTAATTCGCTAAGCACAGGTTCAAGATTAGGAAGCATAGGTTCAAGATTAGGAAGCATTTTTGTAGCATAAGTTTTGGGTGAAATCATATTTGCACTCTGGTATGTCATCTCTTCTTGGGCTAAATTAATCTTATGAACAGAATTTGATTAAATTAAACAGTCCCAAATGGAGAACAATAATAAAATGGAGAATTGAGTTTGCTTAATTTGAATTGACTTTGCTCGTTCTTCATCATGTCCCCTCCACATGAATTTAGTCAAGTCAAATGCCTGTTTTTAGTTCATTGAGATGGTCAACTGCCTCTTATGGCTCTTCCTCATCTTGCTGTCTTTCTTCCCCTCTCATATCTTATCACAAGGTTTAGGCTGCTTTGTAAGACCACAACTACAAAAATAAATTCATAGATCTGAAGTAAGTACTACAAACGAAGAAAGAACAACTAAAACAATCATTAAAATGAAAACATTGGAACAAATTCTAGACTTGTCTTTCTTTACACTCATGTTCAGCTCCCACAATATTAATTTTCCTTAAAAAAAAAAGAAGCTGGTTCCGTAGTAAACGGAGTGACAAAGACGTTACAGTATATATTTATACATTTTCATTCAATACTGGTTCCATAGATTCAGTGTGATCCTTGCTGATGAAGATATAAATTCAAAGTTCATTCTTTCCAAAAAGTATATGGATTGATATTGAAGTCAAAACGACAAATTACTTGCTTTGATTTGAAAGAAGCCATGGGAGAAGAACTGATTTGCAGGTGGAAGCTTTCAGCTTTTCTCTTCCTCTGGGCGACTATAGCTCTGTTTCCAAGAAAATCATTAGCAATCGATAGCATAAAAGCAGGGGAATCAGTTAATGGTAGTACCCAGATATTAGTTTCAGCTGCACAGAACTTTGTGTTGGGAATCTTCAATCCCCAAGGCTCCAAATTTCAGTATTTGGGAATATGGTACAAAAACATCCCACAAACTGTCGTGTGGGTCGCAAACAGAGATAACCCACTTGTAAATTCCTCTGGAAGATTAACAGTCAATGGAGAAGGAAAGATTACTCTGCTCAATGAAACAGGGGGAGTTTTATGGTCGATCCCATCTCCAGGAAAAGTGGAACAACCAGTCGTTCAGCTGCTAAACACAGGTAATTTGGTGTTAAGAGAATCTGGGTCGGAGAATTATCTGTGGCAGAGTTTTGATTACCCCTCTGATACTCTGTTACCGGGCATGAAACTCGGTTGGGATTCGAAAACCGGTATGAACCGGAAGTTAACGTCATGGAAAAGCACGAACGATCCGTCGTCTGGGGATTTCACTTATAGTGTGGAGATGGATGGGCTTCCCCAATTTGTAGTTCGCAGAGGACCGATCACAACTTTTCGAAGCGGCCCATGGTACGGCAATGGGTTTAGTGGGTCTGGTCCACTCAGAAAGACCGCAATTTATTTTCCAAAGTTCACTTATAATGCCCATGAAGCCTTTTATTCATATGATGCTGGGAACGACATCTCCGTAAGACTGGTACTGAACGCGGCTGGGTTATTTCAGCAGTTTTACTGGGTCGATGATGGAAAATATTGGTACACTCTGTATACATTACCAGGAGATCGCTGCGATGTCTATGGATTCTGTGGGGATTTTGGCGTTTGCACCTTTTCCCTCACAGCAGAATGCGATTGCATGGCTGGGTTTGAACCCAAATCGCCCGATGATTGGGAGAAGTTTAGATGGTCGGATGGCTGCGTTAGAAGGGACAATAGAACGTGCGGAAATGGAGAGGGGTTTAAAAGAATCAGCAATGTGAAGTTGCCTGATTCTTCAGGGTATTTGGTGAATGTTAATACGAGCATCGATGATTGCGAGGCGACGTGCTTGGACAACTGCTCTTGCTTAGCCTATGGATTAATGGAGCTTCCAACAGGCGGCTATGGCTGCGTTACCTGGTTTCATAAACTGAGGGATGTTAAATTTGTTCTTCAAAATGGGCAAGATCTTTATGTGAGAGTGGCGGCATCAGAATTAGGTACTAAATTGCTATCCATTCCCTTCTAATATCTGTTTTTTTTTACTATTGTGGCCTGCATTTCATGATCTGTGTGCTATGCTTCATCTGCTGTAGACTCAACCAACAAGAAGCTTACGGTTGCAATTAGTGTGTCTGTGGCTTCATTTCTGGGCTTGTTGGTTCTTGTGATTTGCTTTATCCTTGGGCGTAGAAGGAAAGTTAGAGGCAAGCATTTCCACCATTGTTTGATGAATCTGTGAACTGTTCATGGCTCATATATACTCATTTTTGTTTCTTGTCTCCAAATTTCGTGAACCAGGAGGCAATATGATCTCCCCTGAGATCACTTTAGGAGAGATTCACTCTCAAGAAAAGGAAGTTGAGATGCCAATCTATGATTTTAGGACGATTGAGATTGCCACAAATAGTTTCTCTTTTTGGAATAAGATAGGTGAAGGTGGTTTTGGACCAGTTTACAAGGTATTCTTTCTTACTGACATCTTTATATTGAAGTGAAATCTCTTGGATATGTTTAGCTTTCCCTTGACCATGCTAGAGTTTTTGTGAGATCCCTCGTCCGTTGAGGAAGAGAATGAAATGAAACATTTTTTATAAGGGTATGAAAACCTCTCTTTAATAGACACGTTTTAAAAATATTAAGCGTAAGCTCAAAAAGAGAATATCGGCTAGTGGTGGGTTTGGACTGTTACAAATGGTATTAGAGCCACACATCGGGTAATGTACCAATGAGGAGGCTGAGTCCCGAAGGGGGTGAGCATGAGGCAGTGTGCCAACAAGGACGTTGGGCCCGAATGAGGTGGATTGGGGGGTCCTACATTAATTGGAGAAGGGAACGAGTGTCAGCGAGGACGCTAGGACCCGAAAGGGGTGGATTGTCCCACATTGTTTGGGAGGGGGGGAGAACAAAGCATTTTCTATAAGGGTGTGAAAACCTCTCCCTAATAAACACGTTTTAAAAATATTAAGTGAAAGATCAAAGAGAACAAAATCTGCTAGCGGAGTTTTCTATTTTTTTGTTTTTTTTTTTTGGAGATGGGTAATCATAGTTATGCAGATGCACTATCAAATATTACATACATATGCTATACATTGCAGGGAAAGCTCTCTTGTGGGCAGGAGATTGCAGTAAAGAGGCTAGCAGAGGGCTCTGGCCAAGGGAAAAGTGAGTTCAGAAACGAGGTTTTGTTGATCTCACAACTTCAACATAGAAATCTTGTCAAGCTGCTTGGTTTCTGCATTCACCAACAAGAAACATTGCTAGTCTATGAATATATGCAAAACAAAAGCTTAGACTATTTCCTCTTTGGTTAGTACCAAACTTGTTTCTCTCACTCTCCACGCTCCTTCGGTCGATATTACGTCATAAATTAAGCTGGACTGCAATTGTGTCGATACAGATGATAAGAGGCGAGCTTCACTCAAATGGCAAAAGAGATTGGACATCATAATTGGGATAGCTCGAGGACTTCTTTACCTTCACCGAGATTCAAGGCTGAGAATAATACACAGGGATCTCAAAGTAAGTAATATATTACTAGACAACGAAATGAATCCGAAAATTTCAGACTTTGGAATGGCACGCATATTTGAGGAAGATCAAACTATGACCAAAACCAAAAGAGTTGTCGGGACCTAGTAAGTATTAAGATAATTTCATGCCGTTATTGTTAGATTTCATGAATAATCTAATCTAAACGTTATCATTGCAGTGGTTATATGTCTCCTGAATATGCACTAGACGGATGTTTTTCATTGAAATCTGACGTATTCAGCTTCGGGGTAATTGTTTTGGAAATCGTTAGTGGTAAGAAGAACAGAGGGTTTTTCCATGAAGATCATCAACTAAATCTTCTTGGACATGTAAGTAGCAATAACATAATTATGAATACTTGAAACCAATGGAAACTAAGTCCCTAAGTGGTGAAATTCTTCAGGCATGGAAGCTTTGGAACGAGGGAAATGGTTTGGAGTTGATGGATGCAGCCTTGGGGGATGAATTCCAAGGCTCTGAAGCACTGCGATGCATTCAAGTAGGCCTTTTGTGTGTCCAACAGAGCTCCGATGAAAGGCCGACAATGTGGTCAGTACTTTCAATGTTGGAGAGTGAAGACATGTTGTTGTCTCAGCCTAAACAACCTGGATTTTACATGGAAAGAATGTTTTCCAAGACTGATAAATTGCCGGCCGAAACCTCCACTTCCAATGAAGTCACTGTTACACTGCTACATGGTCGTTAGTAAAGAGTACTTGTTTTTCCTTTCCCAAATCCACATGTTCTTGAGGTTTGATTTTGAGCTTACACTTTCAAGTTTGTCAACAAACAATCAAACAAAAAAATAAAAAGAAATGAACGGATGAATTTTATTTTGTCGAAAAGTCGAAGAAAAATTGATCTTGAGTTTTACTCTTCTAAGTTTAGAACGAAGAAGATAACGATTGTTTTCATCACAAAACAAAGACTAATCAATGATCAAATTTCTCTCGAGAAAAATATCATAACCAACAAAAAAGAGCCCGAGTAAGAAATGTTTAACAATTTGAAAATCAATATCATCTCATGTTTTAGGATATAGAAAAGCAAATAGTAGCTAAATTGGATAGCATCGGTACCTGCTATCATTCATTCAACGACATTAAGGCTCATAAATCCATGAACAATGAGACACTTAACATCAAAGAAGAAGACAGTGGCTATTGCAAATCTTTTGTCGAAGAGGACTTATCATAGATAAGAATCAAAGCTGGAATGGTGATCTTAGGACAATTCAAATATGACTAAATAAATTAGTATATATAATTCAATTTGCTAATTTATTGCCACCTATAATCTATTGTGGTATGAAAGCGAAAACTCAAAAGTAATTATTTATATTGACACGTAAGCTCACCTCCTACTAAGTCAAGGTCAATCTACATTTCTTCATCCCATTTGACCCTTTCGTAATTACAATAATGTAATTGTAAATTCTAATATCATACGTCACCATTTCATTGACTCGGTCACTCCAAGCCAACCACAAAACGACAACCAACAGAGATGGACTTCATGAATGAACAATCCCCAAATGATTAGAACACGTATTTATTATTGCCTTTATTCATATTATTCAGTTTTTATTTCTTTAAAAGCACTCATATATTTCTCGTACCAATAATGTTTCTTATGAACATTTTCCCTTAATTAACTTATTTAACAGTGAATATTAAAGCCGATAAATTCTAGAAAATAAAGTATTGAAAAGTCAAAACTAACGTGAATCATTGTCATTAATAGAATTTCACATGGTGTGTAATAAAAAGAATTGGCTGAGGAGTGTCCAGGTAGCTGGATTTTATTCAATTCTTGCACCTTCCGTAATGCAAAAGAAACCGTACTTCCACCATTAAATTGATTGATGATGATTCTTTCAATTCATTAATGTATTTTCATTAACATAATTACTTTAGGATGCCACAAATTTTGTGTTAATTAATCAATATAGTCATCAAACATGATGCATATTATAAAACAAAAAGTCACATCACATCACATAAAAAATTAAACACCAATTTTATATACTAACGATGGCTACGGCTTAACACCAAAAATTAAAATTTATTTTGAAATCCCATATATCAAACAGTTTTTGATGTTGTCACTATAAATAATAATAATAAATAAACCAATCCCTTCCAATTAAAACCTAGGCAACAAAATATATTTTACTTTGTCAAAAGAAATCTCGAACATATAAGTAAGAGATACGGTCTCCATTAATTTTATGAAAAATGGATGGAACGGTTAGAAACTCATAACAATAGAGATAGTATTATTTGCTTATAAAGTCATGATCTTCTACTAAATTAACCAATGTGGGAATCACTCCCAATAATCCTCAACAATCCCCCTCTCAAACAAAATACACTATAAACCTCCCCTTAATCGAGGCTCGGCTCCTTTCTCTGGAGCCCTCGAACAAAGTACACCCTTTGTTCGACACTTTAGTCACTTTTGACTAAACAATTCTTTGTTTGATATTTGAGGATTTTATTAACATGGTTAAGGTTAAGTTTAGGGCATGACTTTGATATCATGTTAGAAATCACGACTCTCCACAACAGTATGAAATTGTCCACTTTAAACCTAAGTTGTCATGGCTTTGCTTTAGGATTCTCCAAAAAGCTTCATAACAATAGAAATAGTATTCCTCACTTATAAATCTATTAACTTTAACTAAATAAATTAACTAATATGGGACTTATTCTCAATAATTCTTGGCATTGCCAAAAAAAAAAAAAAAAAAAAAATTGAATTTATAATAGGAAGAACCCAACAAAGTCACAGTTACTCTTCCAACTACTCATATCCTCATTTAATGCAAAGCCCTTTTCAGTTCTCTCTCAACTCTCATCCATCCCCACTGATGATAAATATTGTTAACAATCCGTTTTTCACTCAGAAATTAATCATGAATCCTCCTAATCCGACCGTCCTCATTTCACTGCTTTTAGTCACTTTTGTTGGCAGTTTCTTTACCGTCGCCACCGCCGCCGTCGCCGTCGCCGCCATAGATAATTCCAGTATTCACATCATCAAAGATGGAGATCGCTTGGTGTCCAGCAACGAGAATTTCGCTCTTGGGTTCTTCAGCTTCAACAATTCCACCACTCGCCGATATGTCGGAATTTGGTACAACACAATTCCTCAACTAACCCTCGTTTGGGTTGCCAATAGAAACCAACCCCTAATCGACACCTCAGGAACCTTAGCCCTCGACCGTCATGGCAACCTCCTCGTTTACTCCCACACACAAACCATATCTCTCTGGTCTACAAACGCTACCCTCCGATCAAACGACGTGTCAGTTCAGCTTTGGAATACGGGAAATCTCGCCCTTGTTGAACGACAAAGCCGAAAGGTTATATGGCAAAGCTTTGATTATCCATCTGATGTTTTAATTCCGTACATGAAAATGGGGGTGAACCGGCGGACCGGGTTCAGCTGGTTCCTAACTTCTTGGAAGGCGCAAGACGACCCGGCAACTGGGAATTTCAGTTGCCGGATCAACCCGACTGGGTATCCGCAGCTGGTTTTGTACCAGGGGGATGTTCCATGGTGGCGGGGAGGGCCGTGGACAGGGCGGAGATGGGCCGGAGTACCTGAAATGACTAGGTCATTTATAATCAACACATCCTACATCGACAACGCCGAGGAGGTCTCCATAACAAACGGCGTCACGGTCGATACGGTTCTAATGAGAATGACTCTAGACGAATCCGGTTCGTTGCATCGGTCCACGTGGAACGAACAGGACCAAAAGTGGAACGAGTTTTGGTCGGCCCCGACCGAGTGGTGCGACAAGTACAGCCGGTGCGGTCCGAACTCTAACTGCGACCCGTACAACACGGAGCAGTTCCAATGCAAGTGCCTGCCGGGTTTCGAACCACGGTCCAACCATAATTGGTTCTTGAGAGATCCGTCGGGTGGGTGCATCAGGAAAAGGCCGAACGCCACGTGCGGGAGTGGAGAGGGTTTTGTGAAGGTGGAACGTGTGAAGGTTCCGGACTCCTCGACAGCACGTGCGGATAAGAGTATGAGTTTAGAAGCGTGCGAACAAGCGTGTATGAAGGATTGTAAGTGTACGGCTTACACGAGCGCAAATGAGACGACGGGGTTCGGGTGCGTGACATGGTATGGAGATTTGTTAGACACGCGGACCTATGCCAACGTGGGTCAAGATCTGTACGTAAGAGTTGATGCCGTTGAATTAGGTGAGCTTTTAAATTCTCCCCCGTCTCCTTTCCTTAACCAAATTTACACACTCTTCATACCCTTTTCCTTTTAATGCAATTTTCTCAGCTCAATATTCCCAAAAGTCAAATGGTCATCCATCCAAGAAGGTGATACCCATAGTCGTAGTGTGTTTCGTCGCATTGGTGCTACTCGTGGCCTCGCTAGTTTATTTATGGGAGCTCCTAAAAAAACGTAAGACGTTCTTACTTCTAGTAAATTGTCATAAAAAATAAGTTCTCTTACGCATATATTGATATTTATTGGGTTCATAATTCTCATTGCCATTTTGATTCATAGATTCACCTGAAGAGTATCTTCAAGCATCTCTTACACATATATTGATATTTATTTAGTTCATTATTACATCTTCTTCTTTATTAGTTAATTTGAGAATCCCTCTCAAGAATCCTCAACCTGAGATGTATTGAGTTTAATTGAGTTTGAGTGTCATTTTGGATATGTTGCGTGACATTTATGAGTAACTTAATTGAGAGATTCTATAGTGCGAGAGTATAAGATATACATTTTGTAAACACTTAGATTACTAAGATTGGTTGCTACTCGTGAAGGTAGGGAAATTTACTCTCTCAACTACATATATCTTTGTGTCTCTTTGTTTAATTTCTGTGTGTAAGTGTGTGAGTGCAATATATCTTGCTTCCGCGACGACACTTTGTGTCCTAAAGCATACATTTTAATTAATGTCAGGAAGGGAAAGGGAGAGACCACCGAGTTTCTCTGGTAACTTTGGAGACCCGCCAAGTACGAAGGAATTTGATGAAGGTAGAACAAGCTCAGATTTGCCTGTGTTTGACTTGGTCACTATAGTTAAGGCAACCGACAATTTTTGTTTTAATAACAAGCTTGGAGAAGGTGGCTTTGGGGCTGTTTATAAGGTAACTAAGCGTTTTACCAAGATAATAGAAGACAATAATTTGAATGTTTTTGACATTATTATTTCAGGGAAAGCTTACAAATGGAGAGGAAATTGCAGTTAAAAGGCTAGCTAAGAATTCAGGGCAAGGAGTTGGAGAGTTCAAGAATGAAGTTACTTTAATTGCAAAGCTCCAACATAGAAACCTCGTCAGAATTTTAGGGTATTGCGTTAAGAACAAAGAGAAAATGCTTGTGTATGAATACTTGCCAAACAAAAGCTTGGACTCTTTCATCTTTGGTAAGTCTTTTTAATTTTGCATAAACATTAAGAAGAGTTGACCAACTCCATCTTTTTTACTTTTGTTTTAGATGAAAGCAAGAGGGCTTTGCTTAATTGGAGAAGACGCTTTGAAATCATTTGCGGTGTCGCTCGAGGGATGCTATATCTTCATCAAGATTCTAGATTGAAAATCATTCATCGAGATTTGAAGGCGAGCAATATACTATTAGATGCTAATTTGAATCCCAAGATTGCGGATTTTGGTATGGCAAGAATATTTGGTCAAGACCAAATTCAAGCGAACACAAATCGAATTGTCGGAACGTAGTAAGTATTATTATACTCTTCAATCTCGTTAAGAAAGATGTTTACCAACATCTTATTAAATTTGGGTTCGTACAGTGGTTATATGTCACCTGAATACGCAATGGAAGGTCTGTTCTCAATGAAATCAGATGTATATAGCTTTGGAGTTTTGGTGTTGGAGATAATTACGGGGAAAAAGAACACCAACTACGATTCCTCGTACTTAAACTTGGTCGGACATGTAAGAAAAAATCTATTGAATTCTAAATCATTTCCAATTAATTTCAATTTTATGGATTAAAATCATAACATGAAAATAATTAGGTTTGGGAGCTGTGGAAATTGGAGAAGGCAATGGAATTGGTAGACCCAAGTTTGGAAGAATCAAGCAGTGGATATGAAGTGATGAGATGCCTCCAAATTGGGCTGTTGTGTGTGCAGGAGGATCCGACAGATCGTCCGACCATGTCGAATGTGGTGTTCATGTTGGGCAACGAAGTGGGTGTTCCTTCTCCAAAGAAACCTGCTTTTATTTTGAAGAGGAAATACAACAGTGGAGATCCATCCACCAGTACAGAAGGAGCCAACTCTGTAAATGACCTAACAATTTCCATAATCAATGCTCGTTAATTAGACATGCATATTTGTTATGAACTTAGATTAATTACTACTATTTTCACTTCCAAATTTATTGTTATATCCATTTCTATTTTAAATAACTTTCATAATTGTAAATCATTCACTCATATGATATGTATCTTCACTCTGTCTTAATAGAAGTTCCTTGTGAACCCATTGATATCTTGGGTTCAAGTGTGAGATCCCACGTTGGTGAAAGAATGGAACAAAAATATTTCTTGAAAGGGTGTGAAAGTCTCTTCTTAGTAGATGCATTTTAAAATCGTGAGACTGACAATGATATGTAACAAGCTAAAACAGACAATATTTGGTAGCGATGTGTTTGGACAATTACAAATGGTACCAGAGTCAGACACCAGGCCGTATGCCAACGAGGACGCTGGACCCTTAAGGGGTGGATTGTGAGATTCCACATTGGTTGGAGAAAGGGTTGAGCTTGGGGTTGGATACACAACGGGCAAGAGCGGACAATATCTGCTAGTAGTGAGCTTGGGCCATTAAACAAAGTTTCCCTTCTTGTTCATGAAGAATTCAAATGCCAATCTTAATAGCCTTTATAGGTAAGGAATAAATCTCTAATGTTACTAGTATTTATAGGGAAGCTCAAAACTAAGTCACGAGAGTTTAAGCTTAAAGTGAACAATATCATACTATTTTAGAGAGTCATGATTCCTAACAATACCCACCTGCAGAGACGTAATAGCCATATTGTCTCAAAAGCCGAGATTGAAGAGCAGCAACCTTGTGAAGATCAATATCCTTACGTAACATTGAACACCTCTGAATCAGTTGGTTGATATTATCTTATTTTCTTGGAGTTATCATCATCCACGTTCATTATTTATTTATTTATTATGATTATTATTATTTGCAAAGTTGATGATACCAGAGAAATTTTGAAAAAGAAAGACTTTGATCATATATTTTTAAGATGAAGTTAGTTGATGATACAAATTATTTTTCAAAAATGGTGATGATACTCTTCCCACCGGATTTCCAAAGAAATGAATACTTCGTCATATGGGTTTGGTATGAGATATTAACAGATGCGTTTTAAAATTGTGAGGCTGACAACAGTATGTAACGAGTCAAGACAATCAAATGTTGGCGGCTTCGTTAAGTTAGGTAAGTTGTTTAGTTGTTGTAGCTGGCAAAGACAATGTGACAAATAATTGTACTCTTCGGTAATTAAAGCACCACCAATTTGGGTGCCACCATTTTCATCTCAAATCTGAGCTCCATTACATTACCTAAAAGTTCCTCCAAAAGTGGGCGACCAGAAATCAAGTGTATTATTACCATTTGCTAATGCAACTGTAGTTGGAATTGGCACCAGACAAAGTCCTCTACTTGTTAGATCTTGTTTCTTATTCTCTTCCAATTCTTCCTTAAGAAGCTGCCCGCCATCATAATTTCTTACCTGTTGCTCTTGCTCCTGCTCGCCCATTTCCATATATGGAGTACTCAAAACCTGCACAATTTTGTTACATCTTGGTTGTACAGGAAATAAGGACACAATGGGAAGAACTTACACGAACTTGATCGTGAAGAAACTTGATGTACTCGATTGCTTCATGTAGAACTGATGCAGTATCAGTCTGGAATGTGATATCATCATAAATTATTATATTAAAAAGCATACCACCTCAAAATTGCCTTATAAATATTGGTGAAAATTCTAAATTTTACCTTTCCAAAGGGAGAAACAAGCTGTTGGAGCGCTGTGATCTTGTCGCCAAGCTTCTCTTTTCGAACCTGTGGATCCGTTCCAAAAATTACTTATTATATAGTACAAAGTAGAATTATGGTTTGAGTGTGAGATCCCAGTTGGTTGGGGAGGAGAACGAATCATTTTTTTTACAAGGGAGTGGAAATCTCTTCCATAAACGCGTTTTAAAAATATCGAGGGAAAGTTCAAAAAAGACAATATCTCCTAGTGGTGGGTTCAAACCATTACAAATGATATCAGAATTAGACACGGAGCGATATTCCAACGAGGAGTCTAAGCTCCGAAGGAGGTGGATATGAGATGGTGTGCCAGCAAGGACGTTGGACCCTGAAGGGAGTGGATTGGGGAGTCCCACATCACTTGGAGAAGAGAACGAGTGCCAGCGAGGACGCTGAGCCTTGGAAGGGGGGGATTGTGAGATCCCACATCGGTTGGGAAGAAGAGCGAATCATTCTTTATAAGTGTGCAGAAATCTCTCCCTAGTAAACTCGTTTTAAAAACCTTGAGAGAAAATCTGAGAGAGAAAGACCAAAAAGACAATACCTACTACCAGTGGACTTCAGCCATTACAATGAGCTATCTTAAAAGTGAGTAAATGGATTATGAAGTGCACCTTAAAAGTGGGTAATGAGGATGACATGTCATTTCTTGGCCTTTTGATTGTCGTAATTTCATTACTTTTGTTTTTCATCTCGACTCGACTCGAATCTCGAACAACTTCATCCCAACTAATAAGCTGAAAATTGGATCAAGCGTCCAAACCAAAATATCAAACTTTTAAAGCAAATTGAACTATCTATGAAGACGTGAAATGGTGATCATTTAAATTGTTACCTTTGTTGTGAAATTCAGGGTTTCAAACATAGGCTGACAAGAACTATTATTGGTCCGGTTGTTGACAAGAAACTGTTTCGGTTGATCCAATGAACTTGGCAACAACGTTGGAGTGTACCCATTGGAGATCATCCCAAAAGGGTAAGCCATCGGTAACCCTTGGCTTGTAGTTGTCACAATATTATCGTAAAAGTTGGAATGGGTTTGGCCCATTAAGAACATAGAATCATGATCGGCGTTGAAAATGGAAGGATTTTGTGGCTCCTCGGATGCATTAGTTTCTTGGTGATCATAATCCACCATCAAAGTGGTGTCAACTCTTTGTCCATCATCTCCACTGCCAATCACAAAAAGCAACAATTTTTTTCTATATTTTCTGTTGATTGAAAAAGAATTGTAATGTGATGATGAACTTACAGAAAATTTTGGTTCCAATTGGAAGGCGTTCGAACGGTTGGATCAATCAAGAAGGTGGTGTCACCGATGGAACACGGCGAGGGATTGGCGGCCGCCGGCGAGAACAGGGTTTTGGTTGTATCCCACAACTCCCGACCGCAAATCCCAGGTGGAAATTCATCGTCCATAGCTAAGGTTTTACAGCTTTTTGCTTCAAATTCCTTAGAATCTTTGCCTCTGATTTGAGCCTCCTCCTCACTTACTATATCGACTTGTTCCTTATGATATTAACAAGTTATGATCATCTATGACGACGAATATATATATATATATACACACACGGGTGCAGACATGTACATGATAATATAAATTATGTTGTTTTTAAAGTTTTTTCGATGCAGCGGTCACAATCATTATAATTATCTAAGTTATGATCATCTTAAATAATTTTTCTCTAATATACCTAAAGTATAGAGTTACGGGACAATGGATACCTAGAGATATACTAGACAAACAATTTCAGCCTCCTATTTCAATGTAACAGCCCAAGCCTACTATGAGCCGATATTGTCAAGTGGAATCTCACAATCCCTTATAAAAATGTTTTGTTCCCCTCTTCAATTAATATGTATCTCACAATTCATTGGAGCCCAGTGTTCTCACTAACACTGGTTTCCTTCTCCAATCAAGGTGTGATTTCACAAGTAACAACTTGAGTTAGGTTCTTTTTATGCTTTCAAAAGTTGCACGTATAACACAATCATGTAAGAAGAACGATTACTTGTAACGTAACGATTGAGGAACACCAATGGAACACGAGTCGTGAGTATCATTCCTCACATTAAATTGTTTGCTACTTTTGTTTTGACTCAAATATGGCATTAGGTGTGGTTAATGATGATAGAATGGAATTTGGATGACAACCATTTTCTCAACTCTCAGTTTTGGAATTTCCCATTTGTCATTTTCGGCTTTTTCTCAAATTCGCTTCCCTTCATTTATTCCCTTTATCCATCCAAAGTCAAAATATACTTTATTATTATTATTTTAATATTATTCATTTTTAGTAATTACGAACCTAATTTAAAAGATATGGAGAAAAGGGAACTAACCTCGTTAATAGATGCATTTTAAAACAGTAATACTAACAATGTACAGAAAACTACATAATGAAATTCTATATTGAACGGTATCTCGTGCATGACCCATAATACGTTAGTTTAGCTGATGAGATCGACTCTCAATCGAGTTCAAGGTTGACTATTAAAGCTAATCATGAAGAATACAATAACCCCATTAACATCTTTTTTTCTTCTCGAAATTCGAGCTACTTTTCATTTTCTTTTGTTTCCTTTCATTAACCTTTGCATACTCTCCACCTAGTGAACAAAACACTTTCTCCCAACTTCAAATTTTGGTCTCCAACTGAAAGAGAAAAAAAAAAAAAAAAAAAAAAAAAAAAAAAAAAAAAAAAAAAAAAAAAAAAAAAAAAAAAAAAAA